CGTGCGCGGGCGGGGCCCCGGGCGAGCCGGCGCGGGCCCGCGCCGCTGTTCCTAGGCCTCCCCTGGCCGAAGCCCACCAGCGGCCCCTGCGGTATCGCCCCGAGGGCGGGTCAGTAACTTCCCGGGGTTGCCGCTCTCAAAGGAAGCTTTCCCTGACGTCTAAGCGAGTGGCGTTCAACCTTCGTGCCTGGCAGGCCAGACAGGCAGTGCCCGGTCAGTGCGTGGGCTGGGTCGGACCAGAGGTTCTGATCCAGTTCCCAGGGTGGGCACAGCGGGGCCCCTTCCAGCCACACAGGGCTCAGGGCAGCCTGTCCCCAATCCGGCTGTGCGGTGGGAAGGGACTTGGCACAGGTCAACCTGGCCCTGCAGTGGGACAGGGAGAAGGGGCTGTGGCCCAGCCCTGATGATCTGGCCCTGTGGGTGGAGGGGTATGGCCCAGCTCCAATCCTTGGGAAATTGGCAGCAGGGAGGGGTGCCACTGTTGCTGCCACTGTTCCCCTCCTGCCAAATTACCCCACCTGTGGGGAGAACAATGGGCTGGATGCCAAGCCTTCACAGGCCACATTTGGCTCACAGGCTGGAGGTTGAGCACCCCTAATCTAACTTCAGGGGGAAGCTGCATGTTACGCTTAGATCATTACTAATAGCACTTAAAATGCAAGCATCTGCATGTTAAAGCTTGGTAACTGGTGCTGAGTGTCCTCTGAGTATCTCAAGGTTATATTACCTTAAGGTGAGGGTAAACTTGTAGCCATGCTACCTAGCTCATGTTAGGTTATCTTCAGTCTGCTTCACAAAGCTAAAACTCTGAAAGAAATCACAAAAAGGCAAGCAAGCCAAACAGCGTCTCCACAGGATTGCAGATGTTGTCCCCTCCCCACCCTTCACTGATTCTGCAGACAGCTGGAGGCTGATACAAGAGAGGCCAGTAATAAATCAGCACAGTTAACATCTGTGCTGTCCCCTCAGGCTTTCAGCCCCTGACTATTACAGTTGTGTGTGTGTGAGAATTTGTGTAGGCTGTAGCTTGAGCAGGACAGACAGGAGGGTTTCTGGAGCTCCACTAATGGTACCAGGGGGGCAGGGTGTAAACATCCAGTCTTTAGTCCTAGGTCTGAGTAGGGGCCACATAGGATGATTTTCAGAGAGCAGCTGAGGGCAGGCTTCAGGAGAGAGCTTGCATGGGTGTGTCCAGGTACTGGGGCAGGCAAATAATGAGCTGTCTTTGGAGCAGTCAGGAGTTGAGGAGACACTCCACATGGGACACATGAACTTGTCATTCCACGGGCCAGCAGGGCTAAGCAGAGCTTTCACCCAGTTTCCTGGGGCAGCATACTGGAACCTTCTCAGGGGAGACCTCATACAGCCTTGCTCTGACATTGAAAGGCCTCCCCTTTCTGGCTGCAGTGCCCCTGGAACTCACCGGGCCTGTCCAGGAAGCAAGGCTGTGGGGCAGAGCCATTTTCTCTAGTCTTGGAAAAGCGTCCTTCAGAAATGTCTTCCAGACCTCCCCTTCCTATGCCCAAACCTTCCTACTGTGATCCCAGCCATGCCACAGTGAGCACAGTCCCAACCTTCCCTACTGTCTCTCAGCTGGTCTTCCCATCTGTAAGGCCCTAGAGCCTCTGCTCCAGCATGAGTGGGAGCTCTGGGACACAGTCATTCTCAGAGGCCGAGGGATGTGAGATCAAGAATAGCTCCCCTCAACCTTGCAGTTCAAACAGTAAGAGGGAGGGGACTCAAGCCCCTTCAATCCCTCTGCAGTGTGGGAAGATGCAGTCTTGCCACTCAACCCTTGAGATCCCATTCCTGTCCCCCCCCCCATGATAACAGTGTGAGCTTAATTCTCACCCACTTTTTTTCAGACAAACAAGCTGTCCTTTACATTGGTTGGACTTTACAAGCCCTGCCCTTCCACGCCATCACCAGGCACTGTTAGAAGTAGTTTGCCAGAACTACCCTCATAAAGCCTGTCCTGAAAGTGGTGGTGCCTCAGAGGTTCAGTCTTGGGTCTAGTAGCAACCACCAAACCTTTAGACCTCTAGTAACCAGGCCTTCAGGGAACACTTGCTTGTATCCAAGTGCAACCCCAGGACCCTCTGCTGTGCTTTGTGGCCCCCAAAGGGGCACTTCATAGTTGTCTGGCAGATGCTCAGCCAGTAGCTGGAGGGGGTTTTCATCACCAGTGTCAAGGGGTGATGTGTAGGGGGTGGTCTGATTCCCACTGGCTGATGCCTCCCGCCCCCGCGCTGGTGGTGTCTGTGGGAGCTCCCCCGCTTACTGCTGCCCCCGCTGCCATGCTCCTGCCACCACTGTGCCCCCCCAGCTGCTGGGGGCATGTGCCCATTCATGCCAGTGTCTGATGTAGGGCTTCATGAGCCACAGGAGGGGCAAGTAGGTCAGGTCCTTGAGTAGCAGGGAGGAATAGTCACTTTCTAGCTGTATCCTGGGAACACCGTGGGGAAACACTTCCTCTGTCATCAGGGGCACCAGGCTGGAGTTCCTGAAGCCCCTGGCATTGTGATCTTGCCTGACCACCCAGTGGTAACAGATATGAGCTATCCTCACTGGTCCATGATGCCTTTCAGTAGGGGAGACATACCCCTTTTACTTGTACTCTGGGCTATATATAGTACACTGGGCACAGAATGGGAATGTGCGTTCTATCGATGGTCCCAATGCAGTTCAGAAAGCCCTTATGTTTAGATCCAGCCAAGATCTTCTGTAGGTGAGAGAGGCAGAGGAATCATGGCACCTACATCTTAATGGCACAGCACACCTTATGGACAGGTAGTCCAGTCATGGACTTGCCTGTGCTGAAGTGGTTGGTGACAGACTGGAGGCTACTGCAGATGCCAGTTTCCAGATGGCAATTATCACTCGCTTCTCTATGCTTATGGCTGCCTTCATGCTGATGGCTTGAATTTGAAGCGACAGGGCCAGCTCACGACAGTGCTCAAGCAAGGCAGCTGCTCATTGTTCATTATCCCAGGTCCTTGGGACCATCTGCTCCCACCAGCGAGTGCTTGTCCCCTGGACCCAGAAGTAGCAGGACACATTCTGTAGGTGGTCCCAGAAGAGGCTGCCTTAATTGAGTCTTTTATTTCTTCCTCCTTGGGCACCCTGCTTTTGGACTTAAAGAGTAAGACATGTAACTTGAGAAGGAACCGTTTGAGTGCCAGTGTTATGGAACCTTGAGCTGCCATCTTATGGCAGACATGCTCAAACAGGACAGGAAGTATGTCTGGGTAGGTGAATGCTCCCCACCATGAGCTGGAGAGCAAAGCCAGTATTTTATGGTGCTTCTCCATAAGAGACTGTAGGGCTGGGTAGGCAATGTTTTTTGGCTGGAGTGCCGAAAAAACCATGTCTACCTTGGAAGGTACCGGAGTGCTGGCATGCCACAAAAACAAGGGCAGGGGGTACATGGCAGGATGCACTGTATATAAGTATAGTTAATAATCATAAATGCATGTGCGACCCGGAGCAGCAGCACACAGAGGGCCTGCACAGGGAAGCTGCCTGCTACTGCCCTGGCCACACTTCCCCTGTATGCACGGAGGCAGCGCAGGCAGCCGTGCAGGGTTGTGCCCCTCACTCCTGCCCCTGCCTGCAGGGGAAGTGTGGCCAGGGCAGTGGGGAGCTTGGAGTGGCAGGCAGCTTTTGTGCGCCTCGCCACTGTGCTGTGCTGTGCCATGCTGAGTTCCACACACTTCTCTGCAGAGGTGGCGGGGGAGGGCAGCGTGGCGGGGAGCATCACTGGTACCTGCTGCCTCCCCGGAGCCCAGGGCCGGGAGGCAGCTGGGGCTGGGGCCGGGAGGCAGCAGCTGTTTGTAGCCTTCCGACTGCAGCTAGCCCAGGCTCTGGTTCAACCTTCGTGCCTGGCAGGCCAAACAGGCAGTGTGACTGGGCGAGTCTTCCCTGGGGTGGGTAGGTCAGGGAGACACGCAGCCATGGTGCCTGGGCTGCTTGCAGCAGGGCTTGCAGCCTCCCAACTGTGTGCTGGGAGCAGCTCAGGCTCCGTGGCTCGCAGCAGCTGCCTAGAGCCCA